GGGGGGGAATAGAACCTACCTCATAGTACTATTGGGGAGGATAAATGAGGTTTAGGAAGCCTAGCCTGGTGCTGCACACCTGTAATCCCAGCAGCTCTGGAGGCTGAGGCAGGAGGATCAAAAGTTCGAGGTCAGCCTCAGCAATTTAGCAAGGCCCTAAGCAACTTAGGGAGAGACTGTCTCAAAATAAAAAGTAAAGGGGCTGGGGATGTGGCCCAGTGGTTAAGCACCCCTGGGTTCAATCCCCGTGCCCCTCCAAAAAGGGGGGGGCGGTGATTAGCAATGCAAATATTACTAAAAGTAATGGGCGTGGAGAGAGGGCCTAGGAAGTATTGGAGATTTTTTTTTTTAAAGGAGACTCATGGTATCCTGTTGTGTCGTGGTCAGAGGCAGAGGAGGACTGAAGCTTGCCAAGACCTGGAGGAATGAGACACAAGATCCAGGGACTTACCTTTGATCAGGGGTCTCAGATAAGATTTCTGTCAAACAAGCCTGAGATGCCGTGCGTGGGGCCTCCAGACCTGCAGGTGGCACTGTACCTCTGAGAGGCCCTGGAACTCCCAAGCTGGAGTTTCCCCTTCTGTACTCCATGGTGCTGGTTGGAGCCCGGACTGCGAGGCTTTACATTTGTGCTTGTTGTCGTCATTTATCTTCTTAATTTGGGGCTGGACATTCCAGTCTGTCAGGTTGCTGTAAAAGGATGCATTAGCTGTCCCTGCTGACTTCCTTCTTTTGCAATTTGGATGAAATTTTCACCAGAATCAGCCAGGCGTCTTTTGGTTGCAAGCAACAGAAATCCCACAGTGGCTTCAGCAAAAGGAGACTTACAGCCCCTGCGCCCAGATGACCGAGGGGTAGAGCTGACTTAAGATGTGCCCTTAGGTGGGTCCGGTGACAAGGCCAGGACCCAGTTTGCCTCTCTGGGTAGGATCCACTCTTATATCGCCTTTTCCCAGCTGTCGCTCCACATCTGCACAACTCCCAAGCCAGCAAGACTTCCTGAGATCTGAAAGAAAAAGTCTTCTTATAGAGTTTCACTGGCCATGGATGACCTTCATGGATGACCTTGACTTGGGTCATGCCCCCCCCCTCCCCGAGCCAAACAAACCACCTTCCCAATAAGAATACCGCATGCTGGTTGCTAGTTCTGGGCTCCAACCCTGAAATGGTGGTGAAGAATGAGATCAACACCCCAAGATCAAAATATACATTAGAAGTGTAATCCCAGGGGCTCAGGAGGCTGAGGCAGGAAGATCGCAAGTTCAAAGCCAGCCTCAGCAACAGAGAGGGGCTAAGCAACTCAGTGAGACCCTGTCTCTAAATAAAAATACAAAATAGAGCTGGGGGTGTGGCTCAGTGATCGAGTGCTCCTGAGTTCAGTCCATGGTACCATCCCCCAACCAAAAAAAAAAAAAAATATCTCTATCAATATCCTAGAATTACACTAATTAAAGAAAGCATGAGGGCTGTTCTTCTACAATAGGATTTAAATAAATAATTATTTTAATAATTATTATTAAATAATTATACTGAGCCACACCCCCAGCCCCATTTTGTATTTTTATTTAGAGACAGGGTCTCACTGAGTTGCCTAGTGCCTTGCTTTTGCTGAGGTTGGCTTTGAACAGTTTTTTTTGGGGGGGGGGAGGGGGCACTTAAAGATTCCTACCCGCAGAACTAGTCATGAACCCATCCTCACATGAATTCACCTGATTTTGCCATAATCCAGCCCATATGTCTTCATCTAGGGAAAAAAAAAAAAACTGTGTTTTAAAAAAAAATTTGGCCAAATGGTTCATAGTTCAAACACCTGGCTTAAGTCCATGTGGAGACTCTGATGCCTTCAGATTAGGGTCCCTATCAAAACAGGGGAAAAGCAGGTCTGCCCTTCAGTAAGCCAGGCTGTCGACCAGAACACAACCCTCTTTGTTCACAGTTGCTTAAAATCAACCCGTTAAAATTTCCCAGCCTGACGTCAGCCAGTCTGGAGTTCCCGGTCACCCCAAAATTCTAACCACCCTCCACTTTGGAAATCATGCTGCAAGAAAAGGATAGGACGGTGACACGGTCCCACGGGGAACTCATTCTGACGATGTCCATCAACAGAACCAGCCAAGAAAACAGTGTGATCCAGAAGGAAAAATTCCCCCAAATAACAAATATTGAGTTGAACCATTTGAAATGGCCATTTTCATAGGCAAATCATAGTCAAATATCCGTGATTTCATAGGTTCACATCTGTATAGGTCAAGGCAACATCAGTGACCCACAGATTCCTGGGAGGTCCCAAAGACCTCTTCAAGAGGAACATGAGGTCCAAATTATTTTCATTATAATACCAAGATAATTATTGACCTTTTTCACAAAAAGAATATTTGCACTGAAAGTGTAAGAGCCATGGTGGGTGTGCTAGTGTGTTTTCTGTGGCTATGACACTGTGGCACAGACTGGGTAACTTATCAAGAAAAGAGGTTGATTTGGGCTCACAGTTCTGCGCCAGGGCAGAGAAGCTGCATCTGCCGTCTTGCTGGCAGATTCAGAAGGTGATACAGGCCATCACATAGCCAGAGACTGGAATCCAGTGTGTGTGCATGTGTGTGTGTGTGTGTGTGTGTGTGTGTGTGTGTGTGTGTGTGTGTATGTGTGTGTGTGTGTGTTCTGCTTTTCTTAAAAGCCACCAGGATTCAATCATGGGACTCCACCCTGATGACTTTATCTAGACTTTATCTGATCACCTCCCAGAGGCCCTCCTTCTCAACACCATAGTCAGACTAAGAGGGTGGGAGGCATCCTCTTAATCCCACACAGTAGGAGTTCCACGTCAATCTGAGTTTCAGACAAACCACATTCAGACCACCGTGAACTCTAACTAAGCCACATGTTGCAGCCGACCAAACCCATGAATTCAGACTACCATCCAGCTGGAAATTAAAGAGATTTAAAAAAAAAAAATACTAAACATGCCCTTCTTTATGCTATTTTGTTATTTTTATTTCTGGAAAACATTTTTTTGTAGCAGTATTTTATTTATCTCAATATGTAATGGGTTTATTATTGTCATAGTGTGATGAATCTGGAAATAGCTTGGAAATCAGCATCAGTTTCTTATAGGAAAAGTATGAACAGAGACCACCTGCAGAAGCAAAAACTCACCCCCCCCCCGGGGGGTCTTCAAAGGACAAAGGGATTCCTGAGAACTCCTGCATTAGGACCATCCATGGAGATCCACTCAGGGAATGAAGGGTGGAGCCCTCCAAAAGGAAGGACCGGAAGGACCCTGCTTAGAATCTTGACTTGATGGGAGAGAAAGCAGGAGGAAGGGAAGGAAGCCAAGATCAGAGGAACTGACGTGTCTCCCTCCATTTCCTGTTTCTAATAGCACAGTACCACAGCCAGGGTAAACCCTAAAGAAAATAAGTTTAGTTTGACTCCCACTTCCAGCCCAAGGTCAAGGGGGTGCATCTGCAGATGCCCAGCGTAGTACTGGGCATTATGTGGGGAGGGACAGGGCGCTGGGGAGCTCCGCAGAGATCCAGCCAAACTGGCTTTCAGAGCAGACCCGCTGGACATGACCCGCTGAGCCGCTGTTGGCATAAGTGGATTGACCCATTCATAAGGCAGAGCTGTTAATCACCCTGTCCCGCCTCTTAACATCTTGAGAAGATTAAATTTCAGCTGGGGTTTCAGAAGGGACAAACCACATTCCACCATAGCACAGGGCCCTCTGGCTTTCGCCTGAGGACAGCCCCCAGGTGTAGTGGGCTCAGTGGGGGGAGGGGGGAGAATAGAGGCTCAAACCTCCATGTGAGCTGTTGACTTTCTAATGCCCAAGTCCAGCCCCTAGGACATGACCTTCATCTGAGAGTGACCTTGGCATTGGCTGAAGGGAGGGAAGGAGGTCACTGGGAGAGCCAAGGTGAGCAAATTCGGAGGTCCCAGTGGGGTGCAGGAACATTCTAGGGAGATCAACGGCTCGGGCCTCCCTACATCCCCAGCGTGTCCAGAGCACCCTCGGTACCTGCAGGGATGCCATGTGATGGGGGTTCGGTTGTACAGGTGTGTTTTCAGAGAAGTGAGAGGTGCACGCGGGGGCAAACGGAGAGTTCATATGTGGGGCATGGGGTGTGCAGGGGAGGGTTCTGCGGGGCGCACAGAGAAGGCTCTACGTGGACATACCTGGGACATTGCTAGAATGGGGAGTGTGTGCGCGTCGGGGTGTCGGGGGCGCTTGGACGCGGCAGGTGGGGACAATTCAAGGTGCCAGACTGGAGCTTGCTGAGGGGCGAGGGAGGTGGCCAGAGGAGCCAGGATCCTGCAGGTGGCGGGACTGGTGGCAACAGGCAGGCTCCGCCCGCGGACGCTCCCGGGGCTTCCCCGCCTCCTCCGCCCGCCTCCGTCTGGCCGCGCTCGGTCGCTGTGTCCTAGCGCCACCGCCACCGCCACTCGGCCGCTCGCCGCCCGCCGCAGTTGCTGCCACCAGCGTACATCTGAGTCGCCGCCGGAACCAGGTATGACAAGGACCCCGGGGCGCGCACCTGGGCCCGCGCCCGCTGCCCCGCGCCCCTCCGCGCCGCGCCTTCCAGCGCCCGACCTCGGCCGCGTGCCCCGGTGTCCAGCCTCAGTTTCCCACGGGAGGGCGCCTGAGTGCCTGTCTGCGACGCCGCGCTCGGCCACCGCGGGGACCCGTCCCGGGGCTGAACCGGCTGATGGCAGGTGGTGGAGAGGACGGAGGGGGAGGTCGCCCCTAGCGTGCCCCCTGAGCAGAGGGGAATGATCCCAGGAAGTGCATAAAGACCAAGAAGGGGACCTATGGCAAGTGACCCAGGGGAGGGGGCGGCCAGGCTGGCTCGGGCCAGGGTCGCCCGTGCGTCTGGGACGGCGGCAGGGAGGGTGGCAGAGTCCCTCACCGAATGGGCGTGGTGAACTGTCGTGGGAGATGACAACAGTGAAACCCGAGAGCGCGCAGTTCGCGCCAGGCGCCGCGAGGCAGAGCGCACGCAGCATCCCTGCGGGGTGTCCCCAGGTTACAGAGGGGGGGGCTGAGGGTCGGAGAGGGGAGAAGCGTCCGCCGTCCAGGGACGAGTTGCTGAGCGCGGATTGGAACCCAGACAGTCAGATGCCTCCCTCGTGGCACCTTGTCAGCCCAGCTCTGGGGGGACTTGGATTAATTCTCTGAAGGTCCACTTTGGGGAGGTGCTGGGGTCTGGACCCGGTGCAATCTATACTCTCGAGGACTCCCGAGGGCTGCGTTTATGGTCCGGACAATGTCATATGGCTTAGATGCGCTGTCACAAAGTGAGTGGTGGCAACGTGCCCTGCGCCGCGTGGAGCGCAGAGCGCCCAGGGAGAAACAGGCGCACGGTTTAGGGAGCCAGCGCCGGGGCTTTTTGCGCCCACAAGAAACGCAACAGCTCGCCTCCTTCCCCAGGGGTGTGGGCAGGACAGCCCAGGTTGGTATCTGTCCCTGGCAGTGGCTCCCAGCGAGTCCCCAGAGGATCTGTCTGAGCAAGTCGGTAGCCCTGTCAACCACGAGGGGCCCAACTACCTACCCAAGTGCTGGGCTGAACTGCGATTCCTTCCCCTTCCCCTACAACCTCCCAGCCCCTGCCCTCCCCGCTGCCCAAAGGGACCCACCCTCTTCATAATGTGGGGCATTCCTTCTAGACGTTTCCCAACACCTGTACAGTCCTCTATGTTTGCCTGGGGGATATGAGAAACCTTTTGATCGTGGTGAATGTGGTGGGCAGTGGGCAACAGAAATATCATAACCCATCTGGTCATTCTGCAACTGACCCCTCGCCAGCTATCTCTACGGAGCCGTCCACACTGGTGCGTTAATTTAAACTGCTGCCTGGGTAGGCCACTGAGGGACGTTTGGGTCCCCAAAATTTGGGAGGGGCTTTTATTTTAGACTCTTCTATGAACTGCCATCGGAGATTAAGTTAAGTTCGATTTCCTGTCGCTTGTCCCAAACTGTATAGGATCTGAATTTGGGAGGTGCTGCTGCTTCTTTTCCATCGCACACACAGGCCCATGCACGCATGCACACGCACACACCCATGTGCAACATGCACACCAACGAGAGCAAGCACACACGCACGCACACATCTCTATTCTGTCTGCCTGTGGCCGAGGACAGACTCCGGCCCCTCTGGCTGCAATCTCTGGCTGCAGTCCCCGCAGAGCCCAAAGTCTGGGACCGACTCAGGCCTCAAACTCTGCTGGTCCAAGCCCAATGGGCAGAGAGTCCACCCACTGTCGCATCCGGGGGCTCTTTTCAGCTGCTCCCAGGCCATCCCTGCCCTCTGAGAGAGGCCAGAGGCCAGAGCGGTGGCCCAGCCACCTCTGAGGTCCCCCACCCACCCCACCTGTGGAGGACCACAGCAGAGGCCGGGAGGGCCAGTCCTCGGGGGCTCAGCTCCTGGCCACGGAGCCCCACCCTGGTCACTGCCCAAGTCCAGAGAGGACGGCGGCTGGCCGTGGAGGAGCCACCTGCCCAGGAACACCTTTACTGCAGAGTTCAGGGCAATCAGGGTCCCGGGAAGAAGCCATGGTCCTCGGTCAGCAGGCTGGTGGGTGGCCACGCACGGGCCATTGGAACAGGAGCCTGGCTGAGCCTCACGGGGCCCTGTGGCCCGCTGGTACCGGGGGTCAGGGGGCGCCTCACTGGGCCGTGAGCTCACGGCAGAACTGGAGGTGGGGGGGGGGGTCCACAGGGCCCCACCTGGCCTGGTGGGAGGAGGGGAGACACCCAGTCTGCAATGCTGAGCACCTTCTGTTTGCAATTCACGAATTCCTTCAGCAGATGTCCAGGGAGCGTCTCCCGGGGCCGTCCCTCTGCTTCCTGGGAATTTCAGCAAGTCCCCAAGCCCCAGGAGACGCTCCAAGAACACTTGCTGAATGGATGATGGACAGGTGGGTGCCGGAGCCCAGACTAGACCCGGGCCACACCCCCCTGCTCCCAGCACCCTCAGACTCCACCCAGGGGTCCCTGGGCGTCCCAATAACAATAACAGGCAGGATCTTTTTATTATCATTTGATGCTGGGGACTGAACTCAGGGCCTCGGGTGTTTTTTACGTATATGCCGCACGCCGGGCGCCCATGCTATTTCATCAAACTGCTTCAGGTAGGTGTCATTATTTATCATCCCCATTTTACACCCAGGGAAACTGAGCTCTCCCTCGGCACGATTTCAGTGAATTCCCCGCGACAGCCCAGAGAAACAGGTAGTGTAGTCAGCGACATTTTGCAGATAACGAATGGGGCTCAGAGAGGTTAAGTAACTTGCCCAAGGTCACACAGAGCTGGCCAGTGGTGAGGCTGAGATCCAAAGCCAGGCGGTTTGATGGCAGAGCCCACTTTTTCCCCCCTCCCAACCTGTCCCTCCTCCGCTTCCCGGTGTCATCTGAGAAGTGAGTGTGGAGGAGGGGTGGACATTCTTTCTCTGGGACATGGCTTTCTGGGACAAGCCTCTGGTTCACCTGTGGCCAAGGGTAAGGTTTCAGGTTATCAGTCTGCCGGGTGGGACCCGGGGTCACTGTGTGGGTGAAGGTCTAGTCTCCCCCAACCAAGAGGGCCACCAGGCCCCGTGTGCATGCGGCTGCCATCTCACCGCCTCCCCTGGGGACCTCAGAGTCTCAGCCTCCACTTCCTGGAGGTCTGGCCTCCTCCTGCCTGATGGCCCTGGGGGTTCTGCAGAGCCCAGGGAGGCTGGGCCTCAGCTCCTGGGCCAGCCTGACCCTGGCACGAGCCGGGCAGTGCGTGCCCAGGGCCCAGGACTTGCAAAAGCAAAACCCGACTCAGAGTCCGACAGGAAACGGTGACTCGGCAGGAGACAGAGAGGCCGCCTCCCTCCTGGTGTCTCCCACGGGTGCAAGGGACGCGCTCTGCCCTAGGGCACAGGAACCCGGCTGACCCGACCCTGCTGGGCAGTGCTGGTCCTGGAGCAGGCGGAGGGAGCGGTGGCTGGTCAGGTGGCCTGTGTCACCTGCACGTGAGAACACTGGGCACGTTGTCACGCTCGCCGTCACCCCCATCACCCACATCTCTGCCACCCCCATCGTCACCACCCGCTCGACCATCGTCATGGCCAGTGGCAACACGATGATCACTCACCTGGCTTCTCAGACCCAAGGCCCAACCACAGATAGGGACCTAGGACAGAGGACACGACTCTAGGAAGATAGTGAGGAATCTGGGCCCCAAGGTCTGAGAGATCGCAGGTCTGCCTCCCCACTCGGCCGCTTTCTAGCTGTGTGACTTTGGGTAATTGGCCCAACCTCTCTGAACCTCAGAGACCCAGTCTGTAAAATGGGGTGACCACAGATCCTGCCTGCCAGGGGGGTGTCAAGGGACCCAGGAGCCAACGCAGGGAAAGCCTGGCCCAGCGCCTGGCTCGAAAAGCAAAACAAACCCCGGCAAACACACTGGCCGGGAGCAGCGGTTACGGAAATGGCTCAGGGCACCGGCTGGGAGTTCCCGGCAGCCTGGGTTTGGAGGAGCAGGTGCAGGTGTCGCCGGCCCCGGGGCCAGTTTGCGGGCAGCTGGAGAGACCACTCAAGGGCCAGGCGTGGAGCGCGGAGTGGGGAGCTGCCTCCTGGATCAGGAGTGAGAGTCCAGACCTGGCCCTGCAGAGAGAGCCACCAGGAAGCTGCATGGGGCTTCCCCAGGAAGCGCCAACTACCGCCTGCTCCTGACCCAAAAGGTTTCCCAAAGCCGTAAGCACAGACCCCACGGTGCATGGCGGCCTTTCCCATGGGGAGACCCCCTTTTGGATGACTTCTTTCTTTTTGATGTCAGACAGTCCTGGGCCTCTTCCCTCCAGCCTCAAGGGTAGCCATGAACAGCTGAGCGGGTGGTGTGCCGCACAACTCCAGGAACATCGGTCACACAGACTACATGATCCATGAGCCTCTAGAGTCGTGCAGTGCGCAACCTACACAGCCATACCGGGCGGCTCTGCCAGACTCCTTCTTCCTTGGAGAGATGTGCAGAACAACTTTAGGTGCCCCAGCTCTAGCTGCAGCTCAAAGTAGAGGAAGGATAAATGACATCTAAATGTCAGTCAAGAACCAGAAGAGCCCAGGATGGCTGCCCAAGCAAACCAAGCCAATGGGTTGCTGTCCTTGGGAAGGTTGAGTTTGGGCGTGGCGGTGACTGGAGACAGTGGTGGATTAGTGACAGTTCTCAACACAAAGTTTATGGGGTGGCCATACGGCAAAGTAATTAGGAGAGCAGGCCCTGGAGTCAGGCAGACTTGGGTTCCATTCTGCCCTGACACTATCACTGTGTGGCCTGGGGCAAATTACTTGACCTCTCTGTGCCTCATTTTTATCTAAAAAGAAATGGGTCTGTAATAATACACACAGAGGTGCACCAGCCCTCCTTGCCTTCCATAATAAACAGTCCCTAGTTCTGAGGTTCAACGACTTCATCGGCTGGGGGGCGAGACTCGGCGTCACCTGTCACAGGACAGCTCCCTGCAGTCCTGCCAGGGTGATGCAGGA